TTTGGCATGCCCTGACATTTGTGTTTTTTTTCAGTATCTTAAAAAAAATATTAATGGCTAAAGTCTGATAACACTGTATTCAGCACAAACTGGGCCACAATAATATGTGAGCAGCATGAAAGTACATGTTTGTGTTTTTGAGAAAACAATGTTTATGCGTGGTTAGTGAAAAAAGTTTTTTTTTTTCATACAGAATATTTGTTCACAAGAATTTTGAGAACTGGATGTGGTAGACTAGAGTTATTTGCTACAAAATGATGTGAAAATTATCATGTTCACTCCTTCACAGAAAACTATATATTGATTTAACATTTTTAAAACATGTTTTGTGATAGAATGCCCTTATGCGAGGGAGTGACAATGGCCATGAATATTTAGTGATTCACACCTGAGAGACAAAGGGGCTCCCATAATGGGCCATCAATATAAATGTGACTGAGGCAGGTAAGAAAGAGTGTGAGGAGAGTAAAATAATGTGGGTTTTTGATTATTATTTGTATTTTATTTACAACACAGTATAATAAAAATGTGAAGGTCAAGGACACATGATTGAACATACTGATCTGAACACTGAGACTTGAACAGTAACACACCTTTGTGCCAAACAATCATAGACTCTAATATCATAGTGTTAACACTACTTTTATATATTGTGGTTTTATATGTTATAAAACATTAAACACAGCCTGGCGTTGTGAGACATTTAGACAATGAAATGACATGTATTTCAAAATGTTTCACTTGATTTCATTCATGTAGTCAGGAATTATAGTTTGGGAAAAGTCTAACTAGTAAAATGTGTACAAGTTATGTCACAATAACACAATAACAACAGATGCAAGTAATCTTAGGCTACTCATCAGAATGATATTCTCCACAGGCAGCTTCTCCACAGGCCACATAAGCGTCGCCGGACAGACCAGACGAGTACCTACAGACCCGGGAGGGGAGGCATGGTTTGCCCTGCTGGGTGGAGATGGTATTAGGACACAACTGCATCGCAACCGACCGTTCCACCGGGGAGACCCCCGTTTACCCCTAGCTGCACCACCATCGAGAGTAGGAGTTAGCAGGTCAGTTTCCAGCAGAAAAAGGTGCTATCCACAACCTGGTAAGCCCCTCATGCACCTCCGGGAAGAATGGCATCGGGGCGGGGTGCTGAAAACCAGCGCGGGCCACCCTGAAGAACCAGTCATCCAACCTTGAGGGCTCGGGACACGGTGGAGGTCTCCACTCGAGCCCTACTCTCACAGTGGCCCAGGAAAGCATAGCCATAATTTCCGGATCCGATTCAGGCATTGCTACAGTCCCGGAGGGCAGCAGCGCAGCGAATCCTCTTCTCCAGAAAGCTCCGGCTCACCCTCCGATGCAGCGATCGACATCCGATCGTCGGGAGGAGCACCGAAGGATACTGATGGTACGCTCCTTGTAGAGGGCCCAACACATTCCTTTGGCTGCTCAACTGGTTGCGGAGTGCAAGAGTAGCGATGGTCCCCCGGATGGTTCCCTGGAGGGTTTTCCATCACTGTTACCCTCAGACCGCCCGTGCTACTGCCTGAAGTAGCCCCTGCCTGACTGCTGCCATGACGAGAACTAGATCGAGGCAGAGGCAACGGAGCTCCGCCCCTTTT